CGATTGCCACCAACCGATTGTCACCAACCAATTACCACCAACCAATTTCCACCAACCAATTGCCACCAACCAATTGTCACCAACCAATTGCCACCAACCAACTGCCACCAACCAATTGCCAACCACCAATTGTCCGCAAGTCTGGTGAAGTTGTTAACTGTGGGGTTTTCCGGTCCTATAATTGTTTTGACTTGCTCTACATGTTCCTTTTTCTTTCACCTCCTGCCAGGTGAAGGTTGCCAGATTTTATCAGAGCTCTTCTCCTCTTCGCTTCCTTTTCTCCTCTCCTCCTTCTGTCCCTGACTACCACACCTTAACTGCCAGCTTCAGATCGCAATGGGCTATACCTCAACACTGCAAGTGCATCATCGCAGGCGCTGCCGGACCTCAACAGCAAGCGCCAGATCGCAACGGCCCCTACCGGACCTCGACAGCAAGCGCCAGATCGCAGTGAGCGCTACCGGACCTCAACTACAAGCGCCAAATAGCAAACGCAAACACACAACCACAACACGCAATCACAAACACACAGCCACAAGCACACAACCACAAGCACAAGCACAAGCACAGAAGCACAACCACAAACACACAACCACAAAGCACAGCCACAACGCAATCACAAACGCACAGCCACAAACACACAGTCACAACCACAGACACACAACCACAACCACAAACACAGCACACAACCACAACACACAACCACAGACACAGAATCACAAGTCTGGATAAAGAGAAGCCAAGGAGTTGGAGTAAAAGATAGTAAAAGCATGGTTTGATTTTTCACAGAATTCCTCATCGAGAAATTCAATTACAAGTTCAGTGTTGAGTGCCCATGCCAAGGAAGGAATGAGAAAAGTATCATTTGGATCCATGGGATGACTTGATCTTCACAGAAAGTTCAAAAATATATCAATGAATGATAATGAAATCTTCTTCACAACACGCAACCACGACGCAGAACACAAACACACAACCGCAAGACAAAACCGCAACCACAACCACGACAATATAATTAGCTGTTTGTGTGGCATTTTGCGTGGCAGGTGCCCATGGTAGCGCTTTTGGATGCCAACTGGAGACGCTCGCGACACCCAAACGCGAACTTCCTAACACCGAGGTGGCAACATTGCTTGCTTGCTTGCTTGCTTGCTTGCCTGCCTGCCTGCCTGCCTGCGTGCTTGCGTGCTTGCGTGCTTGCGTGCTTGCGTGCTTGCTTGCTTGCTTGCTTGCTTGCTTGCTTGCTTGCTTGCTTGCTTTGAGAAGAGGAATACTTCGATTGATCCCCACCATGACATTCAATCATTTGCGCTCGTGCCACGGTGAGGAACAGCAAGCAAGCAAGCAAGCAAGCATGCAAGCATGCAAGCAAGCAAGCAAGCAAGCAGGCAGGCAGGCACGCAGGCACGCAGGCACGCAGGCACGCAGGCAAGCAGGCAAGCAGGAACGCAGGCGCGCAGGCACGCAGGCACGCAGGCACGCGGGCAAGCAAGCAAGCAAGCACGCAGGCAGGCAGGCAAGCAAGCAAGCAAGCCAGCAAAGAACAAGGAATCCTTTTTGATACGATTCGTTTTTCCCCACCTGCCAGGTGAGGTTCGTTAGATTTTATCAGAGCTGTCCTCTTGTCCTCCTCCTCCTCCTCCTTTCTCCCCTCCTCCTTCGAGTGCCTTAACCGCAAGGGCCAGCTCGCAGTGGACACCACCAGGCCTCAACCGCAAGCGCTAGATCGCAGTGGGCACCACCGGACCCGAGCCAGATACTGTAAAAGAATGTCAGCATTTGTGCTGAATAGAATCAGAATGCGAGAGGTCGTGCCAAATAGAATGCAAGAATTTATGCAAGATATCATCCCACAATGCATACCAGATAGAATGCCAGAATGTGTGCTAGAATAAACGCAACAGTATTTATGCCAGATAGAATCCCTTAAAATTGTTTAATATATAGATATATGTATATGCCGGTATATTTGCGAGATAGACACTTCTTGATGATGTTGAAACCGAGTATATAATACTATGGTAGGGATCACTCGAAGTAAGGTAATTTGATGTTACATGTATACCTATCTACTCTACTCTACTCACCCAACCCCGACGAACATTATTGGACTCCTTTTCATTTGTGATTTTGAAGGTTACTAGCCGAAAGTGCTACATATAGCTAGCTGTTCGCAGCAGGAGCTGAGAAGTTGACAACCGGATGTCTAAAGTGCTCGAAATACTAGTGTGTGGTTTGCGTGGGACATCCAAATCTGCAGTACCGCGAGCCTCTGGCACCCAGAATATCTGTTGTAGTTAGCAGCGAAAACTGACGAGATCATGCTCACAAAAACTGCAACATACCCTTCTAAGTAGCACTGGAAGTGGACGAAGTGATGTCCAAAACGCTGTCAATACCAGCAGATGGTGAACACAGGGTATCCAATATGTTGCAATTGGCAGTGGATATTGACACGAGGCAGCGCTTCAAAAAAATCCCGCAAACATGTTCCAATCCCCTTTTCATGAGCCTTGCATTCCACAGTTTCATTGGCCAAGGTTTCCTTGTCGGCAGTGTGGGTTTCTCAGCCGATTCATTCATTCATTTTGGATTTGTCAGATGTTCCTAAAGACAGATGCCTCACAGAGACACAGCGGAGGCCATTGCGCAGCAACTGCGGGAAGACCCTTCCTGCTTGGAGCTAAAGGATGGCAAGTCTGTACCTCAGGTGCTGTGCAGACGGAATTAACATGAGTCAATAACTGTCAATGTGTGTGTGTGTGCCTCTACTCGGCCAATGGGCACGAGCGCAGGTGTGGGTGCAGGTGTGTCGACAAGTCCAGGGTTTGGCAATGTTAGCCAGAGTGAGTCCAATAACTTGATGAGTTTGTTAGGAGACTCTGCACTCAATGTGCACACTCCAGCATGTGCAAACCAACACATCTGTTTGGTTGTGTTCAGTGTGTCCCCAAAAGTTGCTGAGGCTTGATTTGACTGGCTTCATGTGTGTCCTGGCGCAGGAACCCCAAACATACGTTTTGTCAACATGGAAGATGCGAACTGCTGTGTGCCAAATAATCAATCCAAATATGATGCATCACTGGAGAGCCTCGTTGCAGGACCAGGTGAACACCATTTTTGCACTAAGCCGATCAACAACACCATCTCCTGCACATATTCGGCGCTTGGCCTATGCTTTTGAGTAAAAAGAGTTCTTGAGTTTCGCACTCCTACACGCCTTTTAAATTATAGTCTGCATTTTTACAGAGTCGTTTTCTCGTACATATATATGTTCTATTAGGTTCTAGACTTTCTCGTAGCAGACACCCGTCCCTTCCCAGCTATGATGAGTGGTTCTTGCAAGCAAAGATCTTGCAAGCTGCCGGCAGCATTTGGATTTTAGAAAGCTTTAACTGTTGCGTTGGTCGGAACCAACATTCATGATACGCTGCTTTTCAATGCTGGTCAAAGGGGCAGGAATGTGGTGCACCCCACCTTGAAGAATCGGTCTCGGTGCCTCGGTGCTGGTAAGAAGCCAGTGCAGAATAGACGACTTGGATCAATATGGCCCGAGTCAAAAAGATCCATTTTGAAGAGCCGGATCCACAACTCGTGTCCAGAGTTGAAGCAAAGAGTCACCTGTATTACTTTGGGTATCTTCCTGAACATCATTTCCACATCATGGTCTCAATTGTCTCTGCTGGCACCATTTTCCAGCTCGAACTAGCGCTCAGAGGTGTTGAGGTGTTGTAAAGAAGTTGGGCAGAAGCAGCAAGATGTCGAAGGCATGTGTCTTCCACCTCTTGGACACCAAACTGGCCCAAGAATACTCAGGCCGTGGCAGTTCTTGCCCAAAGAAACTTTTCGCGGCCCAGAGTTCGGCTAGCAAGCACATGCCAGCAATATGCAAGTAATCTCATTTTGTTGTTTGATTTCTTTTGTGCTCATGGAGTACTCCTTGCCACCGACATGGTGCAGGCACCTGCCAGGAGTACACTGGATATGTGAAGAAGCCAGGATTTTGCCACAACTTGAAGCAGATGTTGACCTGCAAACAATCAGATTGGGGCACTGCTTTCCGCGAGTGACCAGGCTCTTAAGACTCTTAAGGGATTTGGGGGGACTCTGCAAGTGGCAGCATAGACGGCATTCTCTTTGGTTAGAAGCTTCTGAACGAGTCAACTCAAGCCTAGGCGGAGACAACAAATAGGCATACTGCATACTACTGAGGCTTATACAATGTGTGTATAATTGATACTGTTGATACTACTACTCTAATTGTACTACTAATCAAACTTGGCCGAGGTGGGGCATTCTCCAGCTCTATGTTGCTGTGGTAGTAGCAATTGTCGCAGCAATCATTGATATCGTCAACGGCGAGGCCAGCTGACTCGTTGTGATGATTACAGTACCTGAAGAGTGCCAGTCAGTCTGAACCGTGTGTAGAAGTGGAAGCTGAAACGTACTTGCTGGTGCTGCGGTTTGCAAACCGCCACAAGCCCATGCCCGAATTGAAGCATTCCATACACCCTGATCCAAGAACAACATTGCACTGCACAAAGCTCTGATGTGGAGGTTTCCTCCACTTTGACAGGCAAACGTTGTGCAAGTGACCATCCAGTGCTGCCTCCAGATCATTTTTGTGCCCTGGCCCGCATCAGACGGAGTGGCATTTGTGGGTGCCCTCGCCTGAACCAAACTGTCGGGAAGAATGGGTGGCTTAGTGGACCATTTCTGTGTTGAAAGCTCCGCTTAACTGGACTTTATGACGTTCATTGTCACAACCAAGCTTGTTCAAACTTGCATGCTTGGATTGGACGATTGTGAATATCTCAGACTCTGTGGCACTCCTGTAGTAGGACACCCTTATGGTGCAGTCTTCTAGAACGCTCTAGCGTGACATTCTTGTACAAGTAGGACACTCTTGCTTGACACTTTTTCACGACACTCTTGTGTGACAGGATACGCTCGCACACGCAACTCGTCTAGACACACTAGAACCTTTTGTAGGACACCCTTGCCTGTTGCTCTGTTAGGATCATTTAGGCGACGCTCTTGTATGACCCTCTTCTAGGACACTCTTGCGTGAGGCTCTATGGGACACTCTGGCTTGACACTCTTGTTTTTTGTACAAGACTGTCCCATCTTCTCCAAATAGTGAGGCGGGAAGCCTCGTCGCGTCACTGTGTTTCCCAAGCCAAGCACCTGCAAAGGCCCTCCCCTGAATTGCAGTGAGACCAAAGCCTCTCAACAAGGGCATTACTACCAGTAGCAAGAAGCTACTAGTAGCTTAAATAACCAAACTTGTCATGCCCAGCTTGCTCGCAGCAGGAGCCAGACTGCATTCGCTAAAGCCGCGGAGGCCCCCATGGAAGTACATGGTAAATGCTCCATCGTGGAAGCTTGCGGAAGTGAGTATTTAGTTCTATTATGCATGTGCGCGTATGATCTTGCAAGCAACTACATTTGAGCATTCTTTTGCTGGTTGTAGTTTTCAGTGAGCTTGGGATAAACCAATGTAGTGCTTGCATTGGCCGAGCTGTGAAAAAACGCTGTAAAGCATTGGGAACTACCGTTTCCACCCCGGAACACGCGCGGAAATTTGCCCAATCCTTGCAGAAACTGAGATTTCTTACACGATCTCAAATGTGACTACCAGCATGTCGCGGTAGTATGGCTTATGGCTGGACATGCAGACCAGCTTCAGTGTGAACGCGCGCTCTCGAATGAGTGTGCCATTTTTGATGTGAGCCGCTGCCAAAACTAGCGATGACCAAGTTAGTGAAGATCGGACGTGGGATGTAGAAAGCTGGCTGAAAGTCTGGCTGAACCATGCCGAAACCTGGAACAAAAGGTCAATCTCCAAAGGGAATGCCAGTGTCATTACTGCAATTTTGGCATGTTAAGCTGTGCTCGAAGTGTGGCTGGTGCCCCAAAAGCGACATGCCCTTCCAATAAGTGATAAACTTGTTGTTCAAGATTCATGTCCTTTTCTGTACCCAGCGGCTTTGCCAGACACGCTGTGTGGTTTTGTGCCCTTGCCACTGCCCTCACTCAAGGTGTGATAGATACCTCAGTATGTTGTCATTGTGTCCTCCATGGTGTAATTTTGCCATATGCAGTATTGAGGTAGGCTGTGCATGGAGCGAACGAGGTCGGTAGGTTGGCACCAAAGAGCAGGAATGACACTTATTGATGCTGAAGGAGACTGAAAGAATCTGCAGAAGTTTCTAGAACGCGTTGTTTTTGTAACCCAGGGCTACATCTTTGCACACCTGGGCTGGTTTGCAGTGGTAAAGAAAGATGGTTGCTTCTGCGGCTTGGCCAAATTGTGCTCGTCTCAAGTGCGTTGTTGCACTTTTCAGACTGACAGCATCTGACAGCCCTTTTTGATGGCCTGGTTTCAGAGAGGTTTTCCAGTTAAGCTAAGGCTGCATTGTGGCATGTTGTGAATGCCCGCCTATTTTGCTCTTTTGGGGTATCCTCATGATGTTGTGGGCCTGTGCTGCAGTTGCTTCTGCCGTCACGGCTACTTTGACTCAAATTGAAGCATCACCCAATGCTGCGATTGCGGATAAGTTTGTAGTTACCAAAGAAATTCATATATTCTCAATGAAAGTATCACTGACGTGATGAGACCTTGATAAACTATGATAAACTGATAAACGCTAGAAAGATCCAGAATTGGAGATCTCCCAAGTGCCACCCGCATCCTGGCACACCCTCCAGGCACTCAGTGTCTGCACAATTTGCATCATCAATGTCGTCCTACAGGGGATCTATGCAATCATCCTTTTCTACATGGGCTATGCCTGTTTGTTGCTTGGCCATGCGAGGTTCTCCTTTGACACAAGTACAGATGACCACACTATTTTTTTCTGCTCAAGATTCTGTATCGGCTGTGCTGGAATATGATGGAATGTATTGTTTGAGGCTTTCTAGCTGAAATGATAGTTCTTCTTGAGCATCAATGCTCTCAGGCCCCAAAGTCCCAAAGAAAGGCCCAGCCCCAGTTTCAGCTTGACATCAGGAACATCTGGATTCAGCATGGCAAGGAGATTATTCCACCAGAGATTGATGTTGTGGGTCCGGCTGGTGAGCAGATCGGAGCAGCTCACGCATGAGAAGCGCATGAAACGCGCATGAACACCTGCTGATACACTTCATGGACACTCATGGCATGTGTGAAATTCAGTCCATGTGCAAAACACGTTGGACACTCTAGCCGGGGGCATTGGGGAACGCTAGTAGCCCGAACTGGCTCTTAGTACAGGCCACTTTTTTTGACACTTTTGCGCTTCGAAATAGTAGCGCAAGATGTCTCATTGAGTTTCTCATGTCAAGGATCCCTGACAATCTCACTGACATGTGTTTGTCAGGGGTTCTCATCAATCACTTTGACAGAAAGCACCCACATTGTCAGGGTCTTGAAGTGTCATGACTTGTAGCACTTGAAGGTGATTGGTCGCCAGATGCAACACTGAAGTGTTAATTTTGTTCCAATTGCGCGGAGTGCAAGTGCCAAAGTGGCTTTTGCTGCTGACGTTGCGACCACAAGGGCCGAACGTTGGGTGACAGAAAGTCGACGAACAAAGATGCTGGGTGCGAACAGTTCGCCAGCTTTTGAATTGAGATCCGTCAAGTATGGTCTTTCCTTACTTGCCATAGGGTTGTGGTTGGATTAAGAGTTACGTTTATTTGGCGTTCAGGACTGTTTGGTGCTCGAAGAATTGATTTAGTAGTGGTATCAACACATTTTTCGAGGAGAATATGCCAGGATATAGCAACAGACACAGGCAAATTTCAAGTGTGATGCCAGTAATGATAGCACAGGCTGACATGTGCGACATGTGCAAAGGAAGGGCAGGCTTCGTGTCATTATACCATCATTGGACATTCGAGAGTAAAATCTTAAGACATCCAAAGCCTCTTTACGCCATTTGTATGCTTTACAATGGGGTGGCAGCTTCCAGGTTTATGTAAGAAGGAAAACCCAGAAAGGACAGAACACGCAAAACTGCAAAAGAAACAAGGGAAGACAAGGTCCGCCCAACATCCTTGAGAAGCATGTCCAAAAACTCAGTTGGGTCCTCGCCTTACCTTTGCGACAAGAATATACTGATTTCATCAAGAAGATACTGCAACTTTGAAGTGCTTAACAAGGTCAACTTGGCCCCTCTCCAGTATGGAGCCTCAGGGGTCAGCTGTTTGTTTTTTTCTTAGCCCGTGGCCCTGCCTCCATACTTAATTGAGTAGGCACGGCGCTCCTGCGCCTGGAGGATCGTTTGATTTCAGCGTTTCTCTCCAGGAAACTTATGTTCAGCGATGGCAGCCATACATGACCAACCATCATTGTTTTTTTTGTGAACACACAAAAACACAACACAAGCAAATGAACATGCAAAAGCAGCGCAAGTTGCTTTGTTTTCGCATTTGTTTTGTTTTTTTCCTTGGTGCCACTTCTGCACTTATGAGAACTTTTACTCGTCAGCACTATTCGCTGTACGCTCCTAGAAAAAAAACGGAGAAAAAACAATGAACAAGATGGAACCCACGAACCCGAATGCAAACGCGTTCGAAAAACTAATATGTCCAAATGACACTCTTGTAGGACACTCTTGTGGGACTCTCCTCTTGTAGGACACTCTTGTGG